GGCCCAGGTGAAGGTGGGGACGGCATTCTCCTCTTCCTCCCAAAGTGAGCAAGCTTTCCCGCTTGAGCAGAAGTGGAGCTGGGAGGGTGGGGGGTTGTAAGGCTGGGATGGGATGCACCTGGGAGCTGAATTTCACTCCCTACTAGGTGTCTCTCCGACTCCCATGCAAAGAGATGATACAGGGCTCAGCTGGAATGGGGTCTCTCCTGTGAATCCTTTAATGGCAATATTAGTGTACATAAATATTAGTGTACATGTATTTATGAATTGTAGTCCTAAAGCTAAATGCAGTGTGACATACCAGCACCTCCAGTGTAGGCCAGGCATGCCTACAACCAGGTGCCTGGCACCAGGAGGCATACCAATGAAACAGAGTAAGGTGCTTTGGGCTCCAGGGGCAAACAGTGGAGAGAATTATGCATCCAGATCCCTTCTGAGGATAGGCTCATCACTGGGAAAGAAATTGCAGACCTCAAATGGTGGAGAGGAGTCTGACATAGACGTTTTCAGGGGCAGGCCTTCTGAGTAGGGCAGTGGCTGGGGGTATGGCTATGGAGATGCGGTGCAAACTGTGTAACAGGCTTATAATGTTTTAACTGTCAAAGTGTGCTTTAATCTGCCAAGTGAACCACAGGGGCCACTTGGCAGAATGTTGGAAGTAAAGTTGTGTGTATATATGTTACACGCATGCACACACACACACACACACACACACACACATTTTTGCACTTAAAAAAACTGGGGAGGGAGAGCCACCTTTTGTACAACAGCCTCATGGTGTAGCACTCCTCCAGGAAAAGGGAATCCTAGGTTCTTGGCCATGTTTCACCTGATGGAGATTAAACCTACCCCAGCCTACCTCCCCATCCAGCCCTCCTGCTGATGCTTGCTGCGTGCCCTACATTAGACATGCGCCGTATGGTGCGTGGCTGCCGGGCCCAGGCTCTCCTGGATCTGCTTCTGTCACCTAGGTGCCTGAGTGCTGCACAGGGGGGGGCCAAGGTTGCCCATCTGGATCTTGCCCTTAATAGTGTAACGGTTCAGTGGCATAAAGACCAGTGAGAACGGATGGGAACCGCCTGCCTCGGTCCACAAGTGGTGCAGAGGGAACACACATTGCATCAGAGCTTAGCTCCGCTCTTGAGATGTCCGCAGCAGGCTGCCTTCCCTCTGTCTGGGGAGGCTGGATTTGCCCTCTCTGTTGAGAAGACATCCTTGGGCTGTCAGGCAGGGAGGGCGAATAGACGTGGCTTGAATGTGAAGGAGTGGTCTTGTTTATCAAAGTCATAGGGGTAAAGACTGATGCCTATGGACATTTCCTAGCAGCTAGGGGGCTTGTCCTGTGGAGGGATCTGGCTCTCTGAACAGTGAGAGTCCCTTGGCTATTACTGTGCTGCAGAATGAAGACTTCTGCTAAGAAATATGGTGGAGCCACTTCCACTGTTTCCCAAGAGAGTGGTTTTCTGCCCAGCAAATGACAGTTGGGAGCAAGCAAGCCAGGATAATCCCCATTACTGCCTTCTATAGTAATGGCCTCTAAAGTAGCAGTACTGTGAGCTTTGGCATGTGGCTAGCTCCTGGGCCAGCTGAATACATGGCTGTGGTGGCCTTACGGTGATGGTAGGCTACTTGCAGTTGCCATGACAGTGTGTTTGACGGGCTCCACGGCTAGATGGGGTGAGCCTGCCACAATGGATTTGATGCTAGTTTAGCAAGGATCAGGAATTGAACTGACCAATTCAGAAGCTCAGGCTGCAGCCTTCATGCAGAAGGTCCAGTTCCCCCAGCTGTGCACGTGGCCAAATCCATAGTTTTGGTGCATCAGGTGGGGGTCTGCATTGAACCATGGATAGCAAAGACACAGTCTGGTGATGCTCTGCTTGGGAAAGCACCTGCGCTCTTTATTGGGTGTTGATTACGTGGAATATTTGCCTGAATACAGACTTTGCTGCGAGAGAACCATGTATTTAAGGGTACCTCTATTTGTGCATGCCCCAGCCCCTTTCTCTGCAGGTAACTACTGGGCAGCTACAGAGCTGGATTTATGGAGCAGGTATTTAGGGGCTCTGTTAGAGTTGCGTGTTATTTGTATTCCATGTGCTCCACTCAAGGTATGGGGTCCCAGTGCTCTGGGCACTGTACAGAGAGATTGTAAGAGGTAGTCCCTGCCCCAAGAGGTGAAACTGTCTGAGGGCTTCATCCATGACCCAGGTTTGGGATGAGGCCCTGCATGGAGGAGATAAAGAGCTGGAGCAAGAAGGGATCCCCAAGCTCTCCTGAGTTCCAGCCCAGTGCTGCAATGCCTAAACCATCCTATATATTCTCTCTCAACTGCAAGGGCTGAGTGATGTATATCATACGTAGCTCAGGGCTGTTGGGAATGGGAGAAGAGACTGTGTGCTCTGTGTAAACAGCAACCTTTTTGAAGCATGTAGGCCTGATGATCATTAGTGGTGTAAATCAGGAAATCCATGGAGCTAGTCCATCTTCCACCACCTGACAATCTGGCCCATGGTTGGCAGGCCTGACGTGCACCCAATCTCCCTGAAAGTGGCAGAGTGGAGCTCCATGTTTGTGGTTTCTCAGGGTACACCTAGGCAAAGTGAGCTGGCTCTCAAATCAGAAGTGGCAAATCTGGGTCAGCTTGGTGCTCATCAGCTAATGAAATGGGGCTAATTAGCCCAGGTGGGGTACCCCACCCGTGTAGCCCCACTGGAGCCAGGACCTGAGCTGATATCTCTGCACAGCACTGCACTGTGGTGTGTAGGCATCCCAGCTCAGAGCTAGCAGGGGTGTCACTGCACAGCCCCATGTAGACATGTTCTCAGTGACCCCCCCCCTTAAGGTTTCGGGAACAAGAGGACCTGGTTCCCCTGGAA